CAGTGCCCCCACAGGCGACGCCATTTTAAATGAAACGAGACACTATTACAATGACAATTTGCTAGGGTAAATGACCTACGTGAAAATACACCTCCAGCGGTTGAAAACGTGAACTGCAAACGTCAAACAGCAAACTTTCAACGTATAATATCACTAATAATTTTTACCTGCTTAAAAAATAAAGCTTTTTCATTTCGCGTCAAACATATTATAGTTTCCGTGTTTGGATGGCCTTATCCAAACACGCGGGAATGTTGCGAGAAGAAAGAAAAGTGCGCGAAACACGAGCTTTTATAAAATAACAACGACAAGGCCTGAATTTAAGTTTAAACTCCTTAAAACTTTAAATTTACGTGTTTGGATGGCCTGATCCAAACACGGGCTTCGACCAATCAAAACACGCGTTATATACATGTTATTTTATAATTATTATTTCGTTTCTTCCGAAAATGGAATTTACCTGATAGCCTGATAGGGTTAAAAAAAGCTAATGAATATTATTATTGTCTCAACCGCAGCTAGCTCCCGAAATGACACATGCATGACCCTGAGTTGCTGGTCGTTGACAAGGCTTGAGGACGTCGCCTCAGGCTCTGATGGACTAAAATGGTTCCAAACAGACATTCTAGCAGATCGAAATGTTATAGCGAGCCTCATTGGACGTGCAGAGGCTGCAGGGTATAAAGCCATCGTTTTGACGATTCACATGCCAATCTGTGGTAAACGACACTCCCAGATTCGCTCCGTGTTAATCTTACCGCCACTATCTAATGTGAAGGAGGCATTCGTTTCGAGTGATATGTTAGAGATTGGTAATGGCTCTATAGACAAAATTCACGATCGATCAGCTACATGGGACACAATCATTCCCTGGGTAAAGTCTATTACATCATTACCAGTGGTGTTAAAAGGAATACTTACCGCCCAAGATGCAAAACTAGCGGTAAAATTCGGTGTTGATGGCATCATTGTTTCAAATCATGGAGGTCGACAACTAGACTGTGTTCCCGCGACGGTATGCACGATGTGTCCTAATTGTATTATGTAATTTATGATAATTTACTGTAATTCATAATTTATGTATTATTATATAATTTATGAAACTACATACTTTATGTTAATTTTTAATTTATTAATTCATAATTTATATAATTTATGTAAATTATATATCCTATAAACTTTACAGGATCCCGCTTTACCCTGATTGAAGAGAGAAAGTTATCATTTGTGAAGCAAAATATATGTTAATACCATGTGCGAGCATCTTAAAAATTGATTGCGCTATTTCAAACTCTATTTGAAGGCAGAATTACTTTATATCTCTGTTTAGATTGAAGTCTTACCGTCAATAGTGACTGCCGTCGGCCATGATATCGAAGTGTATCTAGACGGTGGTGCAAGGTTTGGTTCGGATATTTTCAAAGCCTTGGCTTTTGGAGAAAAAGCGGTATTTATCGGAAGACCGATCCTATGGGGTCTTGCCTATCAGGTAAAAACCATAAATTAAATGAACGAACAAGAATGATTTGACGTTGAATAGCATTGAGAAGTCGGTGTAAAATGAAACAAAAGCAATCGAAAATAATATGAGAAAATTGTACCTGTAATATACTGCATGCAATTACCTTTTTCGAAGCATTCGATTTTTAGATTTTTTTCAGGTATTTAGCTACATCAGTATACCAGTGCTGTAGGTTATTACAGAATGACACGTGACGGAAATCGTTGGGAAATATTTATGAATATATTATTAAATATATTTTCGGATTCCTAAAGTCCATTTCTCGAACCCTCCCACATTATGTCTTTGATAAAACTGACTTAAACCAGCCTCTATCAAAAACGACAAAGTTTTTTTTATATTTATAAAGGGTGAAGATGGAGTGCATAAAGTTTTAGAGATACTTAAGGAGGAGCTTCAAATCACTATGACACTTTGTGGTAAATTCTTGTTTTTAAATTTATTGATTATATGAAATATATGTGTCAAAATAAAATGCATTTTCAAAGTAGCGGTAACATACGATGTGAAATAAAACCAGAAGCGTAGCCATAAAAAATGAAATTGTTTGACATTTTGACATTGAATTGACATTTTGTCCATTTTGCAAAGTTTCAAAAGTAAAAAAATCAGACTTGGATTGTGTGATCTGTGCGCAAATCAAGAAAAGCTCTGTGCTTCGGTCTGTTCAGTCCTGTTATTCAAGTGGTCTTAGAATCCTAAATATGAATAGTTTCATTTTTTTAAGGTTGTGCAAGTTTGAAGGATATTGTTAAAGACATGGTGGTCCATTGAATCATTGTACCATTCGAAGTTATAAATATCCAATATAAAATGAAAAAAACTGTAATAGATATAGCATATTATGGCGTAGCAAACAATGTTTTCAATCTATCGCCCGAAGAAGCGCGTCTTGCCGAAAACAAATGTTTTCGACACATTGGAAAGGTTTCTTAAAATCACAAATTATTATCAACCTGCCATTGTAAGATAATAATTATTTATATTATATAGGGCCCAAATTGTATGAAAATACCCTTGCCTTTTAAATGTAGTAGTGACAGAAGGAATGTTCTGTTTTCATAACAATCAAATCTAAATAATGATAGAAATTTACCCCTTCGCGCGCACAGACCTGTCAAGAAATTTTCAGCTCATATATTGTTCTTGTCTAGTGAAATGTAGGAAAACAGATTTATTACATTGATATTGAATTTGGTCAAAGCGAAATTGCTGTATATTTATATATTATAATGATTTCGCTGATATTCACAGCTTTCTATAGCTAAATCTTTCAAACTGTAAATTACATATTATTTATATACTAGTTCACAATCTATACAATGCTAGCAAGAAAAATCTGGGTAATGCAAATAAACAATACAACAAATGAGAATATGAATAGGCTCGAAATTCTAAATCGATTTGACGGGCGATTGCGAATATATGCTAATAACTATATATATGACTCAAACCCAGGTTAAATATATACAGCTAAGAATAACATAGTTAAAATATCGGACCATTGCTTATATGAACTTATAGTATTGTCAGAGTGTAGTTTACATCAACATTAACATTGGATAATTTACCTTATTACAGTACACTTCTCAACTCGTCAAAAACCTCAATAGCAAAGTTCCTCGACTACATGTTATTAGTGTCATGAATAAGCGCCCGCATTCAAAACAACTCTACCGGTTTTTCTGTTGTTGCTTTAATTCCCATAAAAAGAACTACATTCGACTTCAAAACGCTGGCCCAGATCGGTCATGATCGGTGATCGTCCTTCGGAAAAGAAGGTTCAAAGACAACTCTAGGCTTTAGATCGATCAGACAAAACCTCCAGAACGATCAGAATTTTGGTCTCCATGGAGACTCCCAATGGCAATGGGCCAATAAGATTGATGATAAAACGCCCCCAAAAAACCTCCAGAACGATCACCACACCTCAAGAACAAGCAAACCAACCCCCCAAAACGATCATAACGTCAAAAATAAACGAACGAATGATCGAATTGATTCGGCAAGTTTAAATGTGAATTCAAACGAACATTTCGCACGCGCTAGTTTGAGTTAATGTATTTAAATTCATTATTTTGAAATAGGGATAATTATTATGCAACTGCACGATTTTAAAACTGGAGCGTGTTCTAAGATATATTTCGACTGATATTAGTGCCGAAAATTTTATGTTAGTCGCGTGATTGCAGTGACTACCCTTAGATCATTATGCCATCGCCTGTTAAACAACAGCATTTCGCAGCAAGTTCAAGGGTCATCGTTTCCAGCTTCTGTCGCTCGCACCATGCCAGAGAATTCTCCTTGAACTTGGCCTTCAGTTGCCCAGGTGCCAGGGTTTGGTTGCTTTGTCATGCCGGATTTATAAACTCAATTTTCCTCATTAGAAAAAGAAAATTGTCGCGTTCAAAAATCAGTCGAGGTGTAACATAAGGCTTCAGAAGTTGTATGAGACGTCTGATGTTATTATATTTCATGGTAATTAATAATTTAAAACCATTTACCATAACGCTGACTATTGATGACTAATTTAACTCCCCGAAAAAGTTAAGAATCTTGTCCTATTTTTGCTATTTTTTTTCACAAAAATATGAGGGTAAACTTTGATGCCTTGAAAATATACGGCCGTTTCGAGTTGCTATGACTACAGTGCATCCACGCCCCAAAAAATATTTCCATACTTCTTTTCTCACATACCACGTACCATCCAAACCCCCAACCCACATAGATTGAAAATATTTATTTATTTAATATCGGATAGTTTATGTATCAATACCAACGTAAATTGCTTCCTGTTTGTTTTGAATTTCCACTCCTAACCGTAAGTCCAATTCATAATTACAATACTCATCAATCTAGATCATTTACTGTCCCTTACTGTCGGACAAACATTCGTTTATTTTCTGTTAATTATCATGGTCCAATATTCTTTAAGACGTTGAATCTTGATATACGTAATTCATTATCTAGTTCTATAGTTTGCAATCTAAGCTAAAGTCATTTTAAGCTAAAGTGCTTTTGCTTGATAGTGTTATGATATTATGAGGTAGCCTAAAGTTTTTACAAGACTTATGGTTACTATTTGGACTTCTCCACCACACTTGTGTTTTCCTTTTTTGTACATATCAAATTTTCGTACTTGTCATTTTACATTATTTAAATAAATATATTTATTACAAATACGGCCGTTGCGAGTTTCTATGACTACAGTGCTTCCACGCTCAGAAAAATATCTATCGTCGTAAAATACATTCAGTATCTAATGTTACTTTTCCCTAAATATCACAAATTTCATAACGTTACGATAGTCCAATACTATGGAATTTAATATCCTTGTAGAAATGAGGATTCAACAATTCGAGGAAAAGGTAGGTAGCTACCTTAACTTTATCTTTATGAAAAAGGCGAAATGCGGCCATGAGTACATTTATATTTTATATCAATTATTTTTTATTGGACCTTTGTTAAACTTATGTACTTACACAGAAGAAATATGTGTACTGTGCTCGGTAGCAACTGTCTTGGGCGTTGGGGTACGTTTTCTTTGGAAAATATGCTTAAAGGATTTTCTGTATGTTTGGTCCATCCAGGCGTAAATTACTGGATTAATAACACTGTTGAGGAATGGAAGAGTGTGGATTGTAGCAATGAGTATTTCCATCCGATACCAGTAGCTCAACGAGTTATTGTCGTTATCGGCAAAAATTGGGTAAAAACTTTCCAACATCGCCCAAATGAAGAAGGGACCCCAGCAAAATATGAACATTCCCACGACAATGAACAACATTTGAATAACTTTTAGATCCTGACGAATGGTACTTATTCGCATATTCTGGTTGTGGAATGTCTGACCCAGCACTCCATTTCGTAGCATCTCTCGTCGCTTACGAGCAACAAGGAAAATGGAAACGTACATTATCAGTATCACCGTGGAAGGGACGAAAAAGGCACCAACTGACAAACAAACGTAAAAAATGTTTTCTTTGTTGCGATCAGCCGGACACATCATGGAATCAGTTACAATGAACCCGGAGCTTCCTGAATAAGACGTGGCAGAGAAGGTAGAAAGAGCAATCGCAATGAAAGCAATCATGAAAATAACTTTCAGCGATGTTGCTGTTGTCATTTGCGATCTATACCGAAATGGTTTGGCTATTTTCAGATATCGGTCGAAACTGATGAACGTCAGGGTTGAAATGGATATCGTGAACGCGAAAGTGTCCATCCACACCATGGAACGACAAAGATGAATGGATATTGCGGATGTATATCTGTCAAGATAAAGTTGATAGACAGTAACTGGTGCGACAAATATACCAACCAAGAGATCAGCTGCAGCCAAATAAGCAATGAAATATTTACTAGGTTGATGAAGACATTTTTCCTTCCAAGTGGCAACCAACACTACTGTATTTCCAAGAATGGTGGTTATACCGAAAAAAATTATCAGAACCTTTGCTGATAACTTAATTCGGAACATAAATTTTTCCCAATCACTGCTCATCCAATAGGCCATTTCTATTTCGAATTCACCTGTATAATTATGCATGGCAGTGGTATTGTTTGACAGATTCATTTGAAAACACGGACCTAAAGACATTGAATAGTGAGTTTAGTTAAAAAGAAACTTTACTTGTGAATATAAACATTTTTAATCCCAACGGCACAAAACCCTAAACATGGTGAAAAAAGACAATAGTCTGATCAAGGGTCGGTTAAAATCGTTGAAAATTTTTAAAATTTCAATGCCAGAAATCACGGATATGCAAGGGATGTGGAGATCGTAAAAATATTGCATGGATATTCTTAGATTCCTGAGATTTGATTGAATCATCATGAATGTAAAATTTGCCCGGGTTGTTTCTTGTAGACCTAGCCATATCGAAGTTCCTAACCAGGGATATTGTTTGGCGGTTTATGTCAACTCGTTTTTTGGATATTTTTATGTTTTGTATGGCACGTGATAAATGGCTAAAACTGTGGTTTGCAAAAGCAGGAAGAATACTAATGAAACATCTGTCTCAAAATATTTGGTTGAACTTATTGAGATCTATCTCAAAATATTTGGTTGAAAGATCTATCTCAAAATATTTGGTTGAACTCCTTCGCTGCAAATATATTCATGAATTACTACGTACATCATTTTATACAAAACTCTATATTTTACTGCATTGCAGTCTTATGAGTCTAACAACCACACTTCAAAGCTAAAATTTGCGTTCGGTGTGACCGAATGGTATCTCAAGCAAAATATATTCCCATGGCGGCATTCAAGATTTTCTTATTAAAGTTTTTATAATGCATAGTGGTAAATTACTCACATATAATGGGTCAATTAATAGGGTATATTTCTTGAATTCCAAAATGTACAACCTAACATTGAAATTTTGCTGTTTCACGCGAAGATAGCGTTGGGAAAACATCTTAGACCCCCTTTAACTTTCGAAAAACATCGAAGGCACGTAAAAGTACAAGACGAATATTTTTCTGAGTAGCTACATAATTATAACATAACATAATATTGTAACATAAATCATCGCACGGGCTCCGTGTATGATATTTTAGATTAATTGAACAAGTAAAAAATTGACAGTATTTGCAATATTTAACAAATTGACAGTATTTACCAAAAATAAATGGTGCTTGTGAAATTAATTCCAGATATTTTCGGCCCCATGCGAATAAATCTATATTCTAAATAAAATATTTTCTGCATGCAATATGTTGCCAATTTCCTAACTTTTCTACCGATTCTAAATTCTTTCATTCGTAGTTGTCACCCCACGAACGTCAACGGTATAGTTTATGGAAAGCTAGCAATATTTGTTTTACTGACAGAGGAAGCAGCTGTTATTGTTATAATTAAAATTGGTGGTTCTTACAGGGGGGGCGGAGAGAAAGAGTAAGAAATGATGGATTCATGTTATAATGACCAGCTAACGTAAAAATATCCTATACTTTCAAGTATGAAAATCTCCTCAATAGTACAGTACGTGTTACATATTAGCAGAGTTACTCGAATTTAATGCTCTATAATGGTTTATTTAATGACCTATAATCGTCTATAACTTTAATTTTTTGAACAATTAGTGCCGCCGGTATAACGGCCGAGAAAACGTAAAAGAGGTTACCTATAATTGTGATACAGTTTTACTTGTTCTACGTAAATTCAAGTTACACCTTTTATGCGTTTAGCAAGAAAAATTTAGTTCCGTTAGTTCTATGTGTTTGAAGAAATAGTAATTATTTCTCAATGTGTCAGTTCACTCGTACAGAAACAAAGTTGCAAAAACCAAGTTTATACATATAGACATTAGACAAACTGAAGCTTTATTAACCTTCTACTGAAACATTCTACTAAAACTTCAATATCTGTTACCGTATACTGTTTGTATGTCTTTTTAAAATAAAGCCTCGATCCGGCACGCTTAAATAACTGAAGTTATAAAGAAGCATTTCAAATTTCGAAATTTTTAATTTAACAAGAAAAAGCGATACAGGAAATTCGGGTTCATTTACTCACTTGAAAAAGCTAGGCGATGTATAACAGGGTTTTAACAGGATGTGTATGACAGGGTGTCCTTTTTACATATATATGTAATGTATAGACTTCCATGGTATTTCCTAAAGAGTGATTCTATATTACTGTACTCATTTTGGTTTCAAGAAAACAAATTCTCGATCGACGTAATCAATGTTACTATAAGCTAACTGCATTTAGTATATTTCATACCTCTATGAATTTTCCTCGGCGAAACGTTTTCAAATTGTGTTGTTGATCTTCTCAAAGCTTTAGCAAATTTGAAATCTCAAACTATACTGTGGGCGATATTGCCCTAGCTGCATGCGAAATTAAGAATTGATGTGTTATCCACGGTCTTGGTTTAATGAATGCTTAATCGAGCAAAGGTTCAATGCTGTGCGGTCATTAAAACAAACTTCAAGTCCTCCATCAAATACCTTTTAATTTGGGCTATAGAACTAATAATCATGCATGCATATGTAGGCATGGAGACTTTATATTGTTACTCTTCCATCAACAGCTGCTTCCACCAGAGTCGTGATTAAAATGACAAACTTGGGGAAATAATAAATGTATATTATGGTAATAAAATACGATATACATGCGAGCAAGTCTCAAGTCAACACATCTTTGCGGTATGAAATCCGACTTCAAATGGAGTTAGCAATATTTCCTCATGGGATAACTCGCAAATCCAGCTCGAGAATTAGCCAGTAGTTTTTCCCCACATACATTCTAATTTTCAATTCAATGCATGTTTTAATTAATTGCCGGTCTTATTTCAGATCCAAAATTTCTCTATTATATGACCAACGTCAACGCTTAGCGGTCATTAACGCGGCATCAAGCAAAATCAAAATTGACTTCTGCTGTCAGTAATAATAAACAAACGGAAATCGTTACAATTTTTTGGTAACATGGATAAGTCGGAGTTCAGGAGCCGGAATAGTGGAGTCAAAATAACGGAGTCTGACGGCATAATATTGGAAAACACGGAGTAAAAATTATGGAAAACATAGAAAAATGGAAAAAACGGAGTATAAATATTTGGAAAACACGGAACCTGCAAAAAATATGGAGGAAACACGATATATATTATATATATATATATATATATATATATATATATATATATATATATATATATATATTATATATATATATATAACATATATATATATATATATATATATATATATATATATATTATATATATATATATATAATATATATATATATTATACCCATTTGCAAAAACGTTGGCCGCATATAGATATATAGATAGATACTCGAAATCTAATTAGAATTGCATATGTTGTATAATATTATCTATCTATCTGCGGCCAACGTTTTTGCAAATGGGTGTATATATATATATATATATATATATATATATATATATATATATATATATATATATATATATTGTCAACTAGAGAGATATTATTCGAACATAACCATTGCTTTGTATTTTTTAATAGCACTTTATTCATAAACGTTTTCGCTCTCTTAGCTTTTCAGGTGATAAATGATGACAGTGGTTATTTTGACACTATATATATATATATATATATATATATATATATATATATATATATATATATATATAAAATATATATATCAAAATCGTACACCGTTCGAGAAGCGGTTGGCCTACTTCGGATGCCAAAATCGTCATTGCTATGGCAGCTACGGGTATATTAAGTTCAAAAATCGCTTCCGCGCTCTCATTTTCCGTTGGCGTGTCAGATTGTAAACATGGATTCTGCTAGTACGTTCACTTTAGATGATTCTGATTGTGCTAGTGACAATGGAATGTCTTCAGACGAAAAAGAGTTCATCAATCGCGAGTTAGGCACCATTTCTGGAGCTTCAAGGTAAATATTTAGGTCATTTTTACTACATTGTTTTGCGGTTGCCATGACGCGGAAATCATTCGCATAAAGAGCATTAGTTTTACATTTCAATATTAGATTATTTTCTCCAAATAACCTTTCTAAACCAGAATTACTAAATGTAAGTTGTGTATACTATATCGTTGTCGAAAATTCAAAACAAATTACGAATATAACTGCATTAGTAAGCAAAGCAAAGTGACCTTTGGGCGTGTGTTCTATTGCATACACAGAGTAGACTCAAGTATACTAATCTGTAATTATTTTGATTCTCTCAAGTGTACTTTTGGTGACAATATGTGAATTACAATTATATAAAACATTTTTTAGTGATGAAGATACTGATGTTGTTGCTGCTACCGATGTTGCTAGTGCTGTTGAGGAAATTTATAGTTATGATACGTCTTCAGAACACCGCTCCCTTAAAGAGGTCTAAGGGTAGAGGCAGGACCGTAGCTAGACCGCTTAATTGGGGGGGGGTGTATATTCATATATTCATGTTTATGTACCGTTGGAACAATAGCGTGTAAAAGAAATCAGTCTAGTATAATACGAATAAATGCATATTTCCCCCCCCCCAATTAAGCTTCTAGCTACGGCCCTGGGTAGACTAAAGGGAAGAGTCGAGGGAGGGGGAGAGGGAGGGGGAAAGGAAGGGGTTAACCCACTAGGACCCAAGGTGAAAGCTCCCTGTCTCGTAACCCACCAGACCCCAAACTGCATGAAGGATTTTGTGATCCTGATACTAGGAATATTTTTCCAGATTTTGCCCCTAGCAGAGCTGTTGGGATCCATCTAGATCATGCTTTAAGTGCTAGAAGTATGAACCGTGAAGTTTCGGCTCTTCCTCACAAGGGAAATGCTTCAAGAGGTAGTCACTCACACCAACGCTTATGCCCACATAAAAGTGCGTTCTCAACCATCCACTTACACGAAGAAGGACGGGGCTTGGAAACTCAGCAACCTTGAAGAGATTGAGCTTTTTAGTGTATGCCAGTTTGGTAAGGGTCGACAGTGAAATTACAAATTTTTGGAGTGTAAAGACCTTATATCATAGAATGTGGGCAAGAGAAATAATTTCTCGTTATAAGGCTGTAATGGCATTCCTGCATGTGGTAGACCCTGTCACTGAAGACCGCAGTAATAAACTGCGAAAGGTAGATTCTTTTGTTCAGTCTTTTAGAGAGAGATGTGAGCAATTTTACCAGCCTTCGGTTAGGGACTTATTCTTGCATGGTACCCCTTCCACAGGCGCATTCAGAATAAATAGAAAGGAATCCCGCAGTGTCTAAAGGACATAAAAGCCTGGGCCAAGATCCAGAAGCGTGGAGGGGTACGGTGGGTTAGGGAGTCAGAAGTATTGACACTGAAGTGGGTTGACAACAAGCCTGTATCAGTGTTGACTACCATTGACTCAGCCGATGACAAGGTGAGAGCTAAAAGAAGGGCAATGGTGGGCCAGAAATTTGATCTGATCAGCTTCTTGCATGCCATAATATTCGTAGGAAATGTTATAGGTGGTGGAAAATGTTGTTTTATTATCTTGTAGATATGGCAATTGGTAATAGTTTTATACTTTTTAAGAAATATCGAGCAGAACACAACGATATCAAACAACTGCAGCGTAAGAAAGGGTATAATATTGTAGATTATCGGAAGGCTATTGTAAGGCAATTGTGCCATATGCCAGACTAACGGTAACCCTCCGGTGTTTGACGAATTAAGCTAAACAAATCGTGAATCCAGATGCTTTCCATATAGAGCATACACCCGGGTTCGAGGCTGGTGTAAGGCGCAATTGCTTTCTTTGTTATAAGGAAGAGAGGGGGGGGGGGGAGAAACGTGTAAATACTTTTTGTGAAGGTCCTGAGTGCCAAAAAAAAGTATTTCCACATTTCTAATGATTATAATTGTTTCAAAGCATGGCATAGTAAAGAATGTGATGAGTATAGATCATTTCTTCTGCATGTAAATTGTCTTGTTGTGATAAATAAATTAAAAAAAACCAAAAAAGTAAAGTTAGTTTACACTGGCATACCCACCTGATAATTTACTTCAAACCACTACTCATGTAAATTGTTGAGCTGTCTACTTGCATTAGTAAATAAATAGTTTTATTTCTTGTAAATGTACTACCTGCATTATTGAGTAGAATGATTGTATGTAGTTAACTTTAGGTCGAATCATAATCTGGCAAGAAGGGGAATATTTTTACCACATGTTTCAATTGTTTGGATAAGTCCTGATTTGGCACACATTTTTTTATACCTACAATGTTGAATATGATTTTGGTAATTTGCCAGATGCAAAAACTAAAAGTGGTAGACGTAGACGCTCATTTAGACACTAAGTACCCAGCATTTAGAAGGTACGTACCAACTATATATAGACTATAATGTAAAACATTTTCGTGGCGGTGTGTATTTTCGTTCGCGAGATATTCGAGTACGAATGAGCGCACTTGAAAATGTTGAAATTTGATCGGACGGCAATAACGTTAATGTAAAATTAAATTGCGCGCCGTATTTGAAGTTAAAAAGATAACATCCTTTATTTATGAATATACGTCTCATCAGAGTCCGGAGTCCATTATTAGATTTTTTCGTGTTTTCCAAATATCTATATTTCACCTTTTCCATCCTCTCCGTGTTTTCCATATGACTCCGTTTTCCATAATTTTTGACCCCGTGTTTTCCAATATCATGACGTCAGATTCCGTAACTTTGACCCAGGAACTCCGGCTCTGAAACTCCAACTCCGTGTTATCCATGTTACCCCATGCATTTTCGTCTCAATGTGGTAACAATTTCCTTTTGTATAGTAGAAAACGATTTAGCATCATCCTTTACATCCCAATTTGTTTGGGCAATCGATCGTCACACCTAGATCGGTAAAAGGCCACATTATTGACAAACCTTGGTTAACACCTGAAATCAAGAACTTCATAAAACAATATTCCTTTCTGGCGTGCTCTAAGGAATAAAGTTCAGCTCGAAGTATTCTCGAAAGGAAAAAGTCCTTCTACAGAAATAAAGTTAGCCATTGAAATCTATATATTATAGCTATCATTCGATAAGGCATCTCTCCCTACATTGCTTCGTCACAGAAATGATATTCCCGTTATCCAACCCTATATTATGAAGTATGCTATAAATTCCATGTGCTATAAATTCACAAAGCAGCAGGTCCCAATTCAATTCCAAACCGGATCCTTAAATTCCATATCCTCACCGAGACTATTACCACCAGTTTTGTCCCAAAAATTTGGAAAGAAGCTAATGTCGTTCCAATCCCGAAGACTAATCAACTCGAGAACGAATGCAAAATTAAACTAGACCAATATCCCTTACCCCAGGGCTATCTAAAGTGTTAGAAGACTTTGTTTTTCGATGAATGCTAGATATGCTTCATACTTGGTTATCTCATGCACTTCGACTTTCGGAATAAACATATCCGTGTTTGCTTTTCGGCTTTCTCAAACGTATTTGACCGAATCGGTTATTTTAATTAACAAATTGATAGATTTGAGCGTTAGAAGATCTCCTATTCCACGAATAATAAACTACAGATTGACCGAAGACAACGGGTGAAGATTGGTGGTTTAATTTCCGACTGGCTTTCGTGACGGCTGCGTTCCTTCACAAGGGACTAAACTGAGCCCAATCCAGTATTCCCTGGATGATTTGAGGACAAATACACCCGATACAAGAATGTGAAAATTTGTCAATGATAGCACATTTTCAGAACACATTAAAGGGGATATTGAATCAAAATCCCAATTATCTCTTAACGCTAATAATGATATAAATAAAGTACATAAATTTTGCAAAATTTGCAAAGCGACATTTTACAACATTTTACAACATTTTCCAACCAAACTTTGCGTTTCTACTATATTTCGTACGCTCTTTTTGCTGTGGAGATTTTATTCCATTTCCTTGCATACAACATAAAATTCAGCCTTATTTAAGTTCAGTAACGCTTACACTATGCACATAAAATGATCTACTCATTGATGTGATGAATATTTAAATAAAAAATCAATCGTTTCTTCTTGCGAGACGCGAAAGCAAATAAACTTTGTTATTGTAACGGTAACTCATAAGCTTAATGAAATGATCATACTAATTGGGGATCGCCCAGTTTGAAATTCATAGCATCTTGCTCTTTCCCCGTTATTTTATGTATCGGCTACTTTAACATAACTGTAACAAATGCACCCGTCGCTTCAACTGGTGCCCGTTCCGCATGAACAAAGAAAAGACCCTGCATATGTTAGAATCGCCATGTAAGTCGCAAATTGAAATATAGTTTCGAGGACTTAGTAACAACATCCTAGTCGTTTTATTAATAATATGATAGAGAAATTTAGAGCACGATGTTTGCACTTTTTCAAAATTGTACAAATTATATTGCTTATACCTTCGTGGCGAGGCTCATGTTCCATCACGCGTGCAAAGTCACCTGTTTCGAACAATGCCAAATTTCTGGGAAAATCATGAGTGATAATTCAGAAGTCAATCGGTCTTCAGAATCCATTTTAGTACATACAAAAGTCGTAAATGGAGTGCAAAAAATATAGCTCCAAGAAAAAAATGTTTTCTATAGGCACTTTTAAAAACGACTACATTGATTCAAATGAAATGGGAAAATGACTTGAAGATGTAAAGTAATCTCTGTTTTTTTACACGAGAACCAAATAGTAGACAAAGGTACATGTAATTTAACGCGCTTAATTTCGACCTATGCATTAATGATTAATAACGTTAACGCGTTTTAATTTTTTTCATAAACTGCCGTTGTTCTTTCATGTGGCCCGAAAAAAAGTACTTTTTTAAATAAATTTCTATTATGTTTACTCAAAACTGATTTCTTTACGATTTTGATCACGGAGTTAAAAGGTGGTGAAAGTATATTGGAACATGATAATTTTTTTCTTGCGCATTAAATACCACTGTAGTACTAGTTTCACTGATATAGCAATTTCGCTCCCCAAAACGTAGATACTAACCAAGGTATATAGTAATCAAAATTTTTGGTCACAAGTAAAGTTACAGGTAGCTAGTGTGTATAAAGATACGTGAAGAGTAAATCAGGTCATCAGTTCATCGAGTAGCCTTCCGAGAACAAACGCCTAACAAAATGTCGAATCGAGAAATGTTCTTTTTGGTCATTTCAACTATTTTGATTTACGAATTACAGTGGTAAGACTTTTTATCTATGTGTAGTGTAATGTTCTAGGTTTTGAAACAGATTTTCTCGTGATTTTGGCCTTTTCTTACTTTCAAAGGATGGGAGCGAGAGAACTCCCAACGAGTTCCTCAAAAACGTTTTCATCATCGGGCGTGAATAAGCTAATGTGTAAGTGATTAATCTAATTAAATCTGTACCTGAACGCTACGAAATATACAAATATACAGGTTAGACACAGGCAAGTGTATTTTCTCTTGATTCAAATGGGTTGAAGGCAAGGTAGGTAAATAAACCAAAGTCCACGACTTGAAATCTTAGAAAACAATAGGCTCTGTTACATTTCTTTGTAATTAGAAAAATAGCTATGCGGTATTGTGAGACTAACGTGCGTCATATCGTTTTAGTGGTGAATTCTAATGAAGAATCAGAAGATTCTCCGAACTCTGAAGCCGAAGAAGACGAAGATTGGGGTATGCCAGTTGAACGGGCTAAAACTTATAAAGTCTCTATGTAACTATTACATAGTCAGAAATATGAGACGAATTCATGCTGTTTTAACGTAAATTTTAGAAAGAGATTCGATTGAAGAATCAAAAGATTCTCCAAGCGAAGAAGAAGCAGAAAAAGAAGACGACACTACTGGCAAGTTACCAGTTACATTGAGTAAACTTAAACTCGTACTTAAGACTGTGTGAAACTATGAATAAAGTCATTCAGTAGTATAAAATTATCACCAACATCAATAACCATATTGTGTCAACTTAGAAGGAAATCCTAAAGGGGTATCGGGCGAATCTTCGGACTCAGAAGAAGAAGAGGATGAACCTAGTGGTAAGAGGCTGATTCATGACTAATTACCGAGTTGATATATTGCACAGCGATATTTTGGTCACATGCCAAATAGAGTGTAAATATTTTGGGCAATATGATCTGAATGAAGTTAATGCATAGTCGCTGTCATAAAGTTATGATGAATGTTGCAACCGCGTAAAAATACTCGCGACAGAGCTGTATGAGATTTACCGCAAATGAAATAATTGTAGAAACATTGAATTATTGTGCAACTATAATGCAAGTTGTATCACGATCAATCTTAGAAGACGATATTGCCTTGGGATCAGACGATTATCCGGATTCAGAATTTGAAGAGAACGAACCCACAGGTATACCATTTGCTGGCAATGGTAATACTATGCGTACTTACGCTTTATAGGAATTTTAAAAAACAAATGGTTATTGCTATGTATCACATGAAAATGAAACTGAAATGAAATATATCTTTATATTGTATAAGAAGTTCTCTTAAGAATATATTACCCTAACAAAAAATTTAAAACTCCTGTGACTAGAATTGTGCGACTAAAACTGTATCACTGTTAAATTGTATCACTGTTATTTTAGAGGAGGATTTCGAAGATGAATCAGAAGTGGAAGAAGAAGAAGAACCTACTGGTAAGTTGCTGCCTATGGTTAAAAGAACATCATCTCATGCCAAGGTGTCCTATAAATTACTAAACATTGTAAAATATAAATCAACTAGCTGTTTGTTAGGTATATCGCGTAAGTATTTATTACTGTAACGTTATCGGTGCGTTAACGCGGGCTTTCATCAGTACAATTGATTGATTGCATCAGTTCTTCTTCATTATTGCAATGACGAAGGCCCTGGTTAACGGACCGAAAGCTTTGTATGAATAAATACTTACGTGGTGTACCTACAAGCGAATTAACTTATTTGATGTCACCATGCAAAAGTACAAAAATATTATCAAAGTAAGATGTAACGAACCTTTTGGTAAGTGAGTAACTAAGGCTGAACGCCGGTAAACGCTTACCGGGCATTCACCAAATTTTTAAATATTGCATGTAGTATCTCAAATAGGCAAACTGACCAATAAATATAAGACATATAACAAAATAAAATAAATTGATGTGGCTATCTGTAATGTAAGAATGAAACAAGCTGCATTCATTTCTTTTTCAGAAGAGGATTTTGATGAAGAGTCAGAAGATTCAGAGACAGAAGAAGACGAACCAGCTGGTGAGTGTGGTGGGGGTTGGGAGTGGATATAAGACGAGTATGGCAGTTGAATGAACATAAAAACTTATCGGGGTCATCCGCATGCAATTTTTGAAAACGACTAAGAACGGGGAATAAACCCAACTTCCGTCACTTTGAATTAGGTTGCATGAATTTCATCATGTTTCTATGACTAGACGCTAGTGATTGCATGATTTATTATCAGAGGTACAAAATGAGATGTAGCGGTTTAAAACACATCAGCTTTTAAAACGATTTAATTCTACAAAACTGTTCAGCGTTAAAGGTTATTAATTTACGCTGTAAATCAGTGTTTTTTGAATGCGCAATCTTAAATTAAAATCTGAAACTCTATAGATATTTGCATTACCTGAAATATGAATGCAATAAGTACACACAGCTTCGAAACAAACTCATACAAGAATATTCATTTCCAGTTTCTCTAGCTAATAGGTTATTAGGGGCCTGTAAGAATTATTTTCGTGGAAGGGAACTAAAATCGTACAGGAATGTACCATAACGAAGGTGAACAGCTTGTCGACGAAATGTCGCACTGATAAAATAAATTAAGAGCTATCGAGTTGTTGTATAGTATACTTATCGTATCAGTTATAAGGTTCAAGACAGTAAAATCATTGGGTATATGCATGTTTGGGAACAATTCCTAGAGCCTAATTCGAGGCAGTGCTCGCTGGGTCCTGAAAGTCAATCAGGGTGACGTTCCACACATGATGCGAGAATCAGGAACTTGCAATTACAAGCAGACTTTAGAAGACATTTTCGTGTTCACAAAACGTGGGGACAAAGATAAGAAAAATAGTTTTCAATAAACCTGGCATTTGCATTGCGAGTTTTGGTAAAAAATATTCCCTAAGAGGCTACTGATATGCTAAACCTTGAAGATAATGATTATTCGCACCAACATTCACATTTCACATTCTACAATTGCATGTCACAGGCAACTTTAATTTAGATAACTGCATGTATTCTCCTTTGCCATGCACAAATATTTAGTTCCCAGAATTTGAAGTTTGGGGTTTGTTTGGTCAACTTTTATTCCGGATTCCAGTTAAGATACAAGATAATTTTTTGCTAAATTTATTCTCTTCTTTTTAATACATTCTCCCTCAGGTAAAAGAGGTTTTCGGCGCCATCGATATAAAATTTTTCTGACAGAAGATGTGCGTCCTATTGGAATAACCGCAAATCTCCTTTCACATCGTCGAGGAGGATGTCAAAAGCTACTCAGGATCGTCCGCATTTACGGCAATAACGCACTTGCCAGAGTTTTTCTGAAATGTGGTCGACTGTCTAAGTTTTTAGGGAAACTGTGGTTGAGATTGGTTATTATTCGAAGAAATTCTGGTGATCGATTTTTGAATTCCGGTTGCAACATTAACGACCGTTCAAGTGATCTTGGTGGAAAGCATGGCGGGCGTGATTCAGACGCTCTGCTCAGACTCAATAATCACGAGGCTGGGGAAGCGCGCGAAGAAATGATGGCGGCAGTCAAAGTCGAGAAGTATCTTAAGTGCGCAATGAATAGAATCTTGAAGGTTTACAATCGCGGTAAGTTATCTTAGCACAATGCACGTGAATGATTTTGACTGAACCAAACGTCCAGTCACACACATCTCAGTGATTTTAAACGAATTGCCGTTTCATTTGTAAGACTGCATGTATTTAGCGACTGCTTGACTTAATGCTCATGTCGAGCTAGTTGCGCCAATTGTACATTCCCTTCCGTCCATAATTTTGAGATCAAAACGTTGTTTGCTTTCATGAAGAATACATCTGTAGCCAGGGACGTACCTGGAACGATGATTGAAGGGGGGTTTTGAACATTCATATATTTATTTCTGCCCAAAATTTCTACTGTAAGCTATCGCACTTACTAAATAAATCTGTCGGGCCGAACTGAATGTCATGGATATCAAAGCAAGAATATATGCAAATCAAAGATAGAAAATAATTTATTTCTAAAATATTTTGAGAAGTAATAAAGTTAACAAAAATAAGCGTGATGTTACTTTTAAGGCGATAGAGATAATTTTTATTGCCCTATCGCTCTAAGTGGAAGTGTTTGAAAAGTCAGTTTTCATATATAAGTTCAGGTTCTGTCACAGACTGAATGTACTTAAATATGCATTTGTTTTAAGCGACGGAGTAAAAATAAATGCAAAATGATAATTTCACAACTCTAGGAGGAGAAAAATTTTTCCTTGCTTGGAGAATCAACACCCTATTTTCGCAAGGAGCACTGAGGAATTTGGCAAGAAGACATAGCTGCGAACAAAGGAAAGTCGAACACTGTCCACGTTCAACTTTTACATTTCGCACGATTGATGGTACATGCAACAATATTCGTAATCCTTTATTTGGTTCCGCCCCTGGTCCTCTCAATCGCCTTGTTCCTGCAAAATATTTTGACTTCGATGGCCTTGACGAACCTATCGGTTTCCCAGGTCAAGTGAACGTCCCTAATATTCCTGCGACGCTCAAAGTAGTTCAACGATTTATTATTCAACAAAATCAGCCTTCAAGGAGGCCATTGCCTCACTCTCACTTACTCATGCAGTTCGGTCAATTTTTGGATCATGACGTTGGTCTTTCACCGGAAAGTCAGTGTTCGGACAATTGCCAAGGCATAACGTAAGTTATTATTCGACTTATCACATCTCCTATAGTTGAACCAGGATAATCAGAATTTTTTTGTCAACGCGATACTCTTTTTTTTGTTTTAATTGTGTTAAGCACATTTGTGCTTGCAATTGTCACTACTTTTTTCGGTCGCCGCCATTTCTCTTGATGTGCTTCGTTTTCTCATTGCATTGAAATTTATTGATAAATTGGCTTTAGACAACACTAGGAATGCACCCGACGAGTTAAAGAATAGATGTAAATTGTGAACCACAGATACTAAAATCTATCTAAAAAAAACCACCTGAAATGTGTTTTTATAGTTGTTATATACATTACAATTGTTTTTAAATTTGTGTTGTTAATGTTGCTGGGGGTTTTTCTCTGGTCTTTCCTACTGTGTATAATGTTTTGTTGTTGTTGTTGTTGTTATTGCTGTTTTTGTTGTTGTTGTTGTTTATTTTTAGAAAATTTCTACCATAGTCATTACCAAACATGATGATTTTTTTTTATTTTGGCGTAATAAAATTTTTGAAGGGCTGCATTATGCATTCTAAGGCATAATTTTTCTACGCAAGCATCATATTTTTGTCACGAGCAATGCCGACTTTGACGTTGCAAACATTGCAAACATAGCAAAAGTTTTCGTTCCATGTAGGTGAGCGGGTTGTTGTTAAACACAAGTGAAAGTTTTTTTAATCAGGGTCAAGTGATTTTGCTGCGTAACTTGCCATGAACTAATTGAGGAAAATTGACCTCTTAACTGATCAATCATAAGAGAGTAATTTAATCCGACATATTTATTATTATATTGATGAAATAGAATATTCCTCTTATGAAATGACAAAGTTTAGTGTTTTTCCATTTCTTACAGAATCGACGGTTCAGCAGATGATTTTGCAGCACCCTGTTATTCCATCCAACCGTTTGGAAATGCCGAGGGCATTCATTTTGCAAGATCAGCTAGTGAATGTCAAATAAAGAATGGCCGTTTCACAAAACGAGAGCAGATTAATGTTGACACGTCATTTGTTGATGCCTCGCAGGTCTATGGATCCGGTAAAACACTTGCGAGAGATTTGAGAGATTTGAGAAGTTAGTAACCCTTATCGTTAAGTTAACTTATCGCAGGCGTTTAGCAAAAGTATTAACATTGTGAAAACTGTATTAAATTCTATATTTGGTTGCCTCATTTATTGGACCAAACTTTATTGTTAAACAACCAATTTTTTGTCATTTTTTTACTTAAATTAAAATTAGATTGATCAAAAAGAGATTTATCTCAGACGACGAATTAGTTAGCGGTTAGTTTTAGCGTTCTGTTTTCACTAGTGCGGGACTTGAATTTTGAGATGCTTGAATCAGTTCGGTAAAGTTGAATTATCTGAAAATCTAGTGCGAACGAAAACAGAAATATTCCACAGAATTTACCTCCTAATTTTATGACATTAGAAATTTCCTTTCGTGTTCACAATAAATGCTGGTTTATGCTATCGTATATGTGATCTGACATGAATTCATTTGTTACAGGCAAAGGGCTTTTGAAAACAACCCTGGCGTAAATGGCAAATTTCTCCCCGAGGATAGCATCGAAAGAGAGGGTCCAGCCCGTTTTTGCCATAAAATGAATGGGGGACGTGGATGTTTCTTAGCTGGTGACAGTCGAACGAATGAACAATTAGTACTGACCTCTATGCATACATTGTTTGTTCGGGAACATAACAGAATTGCTCGTGCATTAGGAAGACTGAATCCCGGCTGGGACGGTGAAAAAATTTATCAGGAAACGAGAAAGATTGTTGGTGCTGTGCTGCAGAAAATTACATACCAGGACTTTCTGCCAATTATCATAGGAAACACGCTTCCTCGCTATCGAGGCTACAACCCAAATGTCAACCCTGACCTTTTGAACGCATTCTCCACCGCTGCGTTTAGATTTGGACACACTTTAATCCGGCCCACGTTTGATGTCCTTGATAAAAATTTCAATCCTAAGCAAGGAGTGAGCCCCTTACCATTAGCCCATCTTTTTTTCAACACCAGCTTCTTACGTGATAACGGCATAGATGGACTTCTCCTTGGTTTGCTTGCTAATTCATCTGAGAATTTCGATCAGAAACTTGCCACTCCTTTGCTGAAACAGTTATTCGAACGTCCAGATTCTCCAGGATTAAACCTTGCTGCCTTGAACATCCAGCGCAGTAGAGATCACGGGCTACCTGGTTATAACGCATACCGACATGTTTGTGGATTGAAAAGTGCCACAAGTTTCTGGAGTACACGCAGAGAAATTCAAAGCCGACTTAATAGAATTTGTCTGCGAAGGCTGTACGGGAGTCCTAAAAACGCAGATTTATTTGTTGCTGGTCTAGGAGAAGCACCGGCAAATGGTGGAATTGTTGGGGCGACGTTTGGGTGCATCATTCGGGAGCAATTCAGACGATTAAGGGATGGCGACAGATTCTTCTACAAAAAAAGTGGAGTGTTCACACCTTGGCAGTTGAGGGAGATTAACAAGGCTACAATGTCGAGAATTATGTGCGATAATTTGAAGAATATCGTGTCAGTCCAAAGAAATGCATTCTTCGCCGGAAACAGAAACGTTCGTCGTGTAGAGTGTGCCGGAATACCTCGTATGAATCTCAGAGCCTGGAGAAGTATGTATCTATTCGTGGTCATATATACACATCATGTTACATCATATAATTTTATTACAAAACTAGTTTGTCTAAAAATGCGCGAACTAAACCAGTTAGACGATAATGAACAAAAAAATTAAGAGGCTATTCGAACGGTCTTTGGTTTTTATACACCATGGAGTTCGAAGTAAAAAAAATATCAGGGTGTCCCAGAAAACCCTGAATCTCTTTTTAGTTATAAATTTACTAACTCATAAACACACTCCGAGAAACAAAGAAATTTTCAACCACGATATAAGAGTTATAAGACAGGCTCTATTTTAGCTTTATTTCAGAATCATTGTGAAACCAGACCAGCAATTGAGGGTTTCATGTTTTTAATTTTGTCAAACGTCAGTTCTCGTCCAGACAGGACAACAATGCTTAAATTAGAATGTCTCGTTTGACAACGAATCTCAAATAGAATCGAAACTTTGAACTTGAAATTGAGTAATTGTGTCATGCCTTTCTTATAACCACGTGCACATTTCAAGTTTTCCAAGCGCCCTTGTTTGGCCATTTCTTAACGTTTGTTCAAGTCACAATCGACAAAAAATATAAATCTGACTTGAAAAATCAAATAACTTGCAACCCATTTTCTTCTTCTTCCAAGATGTGAAGTCTCTGCGCATGAATTCAGCTCATAACAAACTAAGCAATATTTCGGCGAAAATTCGTAATTCGTATTTTAATTATTTCGGATATTCCCATAGCGAGAAAATGTGGACACGCATGCGTGTTAATCGTGTAGACTTTAAATTTTTTTGGTAAACAAAATGGCGACGCGTTATTAAAGAATTGTATTGGAGTTAGGAATAAAATTGTGTTTAAAGTTTAACCCTTTAAAGGAAGCTTAAAATGTCGGACCTAAAATTGCTAGATCCTGGTGACAACTTTCATCGACGAAAAATTTTTAATATAGCGATATAGAAATTTCATTCGGTATCACGACATTTAACTATGAACCATGGGTGATTCTTCCCAAATCTGTAGGATTTTTACGTAGTTTGGTATTTTGAACTAACTTTAGTGCAAAATTGGTATATTCCAGCCGTGAAATCTGACTTCCCGAGGAAAAACTCACAGAAATGGCAAGCAGAACAAACTAAATATCGGTCTTTCTTGTTCGAATATGCATCCATTTGGCTTGTTTTTAGTACCAGCTTTGTGACCAAGCTTTGGTCTCTAAGTAATCTTAATAAATTCATAAACATTGCCGTCTATGGCTGGAATATTACATAATCAAGTTATGTACTGTATGGCTATTCGCAATAGTGTTTTGCTACAATGGCATAACGCATAATCTAAGCAGGAAAATTACATAGACTTTCTCAACGAGATAATACCCGATGAATCCGTCCAGGGCTATGCGCGCATCGTTTAGCTAGCCGCCATCTTGGAAATTTTTCGCTGAACTACTGAATATTTTGTGTATGCTCCTTGAGAGTCAAACGCTTAACTCCTCCCGCTTACATCCACATTTTCTCGCCATGATAGTAATATTTCACCTTATTTCAGGTGGAGGGACATCAAGACGTATCCGGATCTACATAAGAAGTGAAGGTTGTAGAGATCGACGAAGAACCGGCTCTGGTCGCGCATTTATTCGAATCAACGGAATTGATTATTCCAGGCATTCAAATGGCTACAATATCGTTGTTATCAACGGGAGGACAGGTATGTGTATTTAATATGTGGACTAAAAATTTACGAGTAGTCTGCTAGTGTTTAGAAACTTCGTCAACCGTTTCATTCCGATGTTTATTTTTACATTTTTCGTAAACGATAAAACTATTTTAAAAACTGTATAAAATTGTGAGTCCCATCTTTTGCTTCTCTTTCTTTCATCTCCATCTCTGCGATGCTAATCAACGTTGACCTTCACCTTTTTCTTTTCCCTTCCGGTCTCCAACTTAACGCCGCCCTTGCATCGCTCATTCTGTTCTGCCTTAGAATATTGCCAAAGAGCTACCATCTTCTTCTCTTTAATTTTTGATCCACTTGTGACCTCTCTGCCCTGGCAGTAACTCTTTGGTATAGTGATTTGATCTTGCCAACGTGGAGTAATCCTAATCTACAAGGGACGCACAATAATTACCCGCAAGCATATATGGTAGTTCTTTGGAATATTTTTAATTCTTTCCACTGACATTTCAGGTTACCTTCAAAGCTACGTTTTTTTCCCGATGTATATAGCTACTACTGATGTATCTACTACTCGTATTTGCTTAGTTTTCTTTTATATGGAAAGAAAATTAGGTATAATTGCAAGTTTCTATTTATTTTCTGTGTAGGGCGTGTTGAACAGCGCAGATCGTTTTTCACCAGAAGTAATTTTGCTGCCAATCGCATGGTTGATTTTCTCAAAAGCCTACGCTTTCACCGGGGGTAAGATTTAAAAAATATTTTTAGTCTTATTTTTCGGAATTTTTTACGAAAATGCTTTATCTGTCGCCTCCAAATTTTTTTCGCTTAAACTTGCCTCTTTTTAGTGAAAAGATTAGACATCCGTGATTCTTGAATTATATGTCCATGTATATTCCTCGGATTTTATATAATTTTTATTGAAATATTTTATTTCCAATAATTTACAAAAATATTGTTCGCAAAAAATGTAAACGTTGGAGCAAAATACAAACTTTTTTGTCTCAACCAATGATGAGGTTGCTGATAACCAGGTTTTACTGGTCCAAATTTCGCACGTGCGCATAACCAATGGAGAATCCGACGTCCATGTTATTGAATTTAGATGCCTTTTAATTTGAAATTGCACACTTAATTAATAATTGCTAGCCAATGTCTATTTCAGTGCGACAGCTGCCAGCACTCGTTTGAAAGTTGTTACAAATCAAACCTGAGTACTTTTTTGAGACAAGAAAAATTTTTCATTTAAAATCACTGCACAAGATCATAACCCATGCAGCATCGATTTAAAATACGGTTGAATTTTCACAATTTAAAAATTAGGTTAAAAATTTCGTTCGATCAAAAACTCTGGCGAAGTGGAAATCGAACACGTACAACATAAAAGATCAAAGTCATCAAACGAAGAGCATTTCACATTAGATTTAGTCAATACTGGCTCCTAACAATTGTATTATTATCCGGCAGAGAAAAAAATATTTTAATTGATCGCTCCCCATTGGGACTTTTCAGTGACAAAGCACATTGCACACTGGAGACTCGGACGAAAGGAATCTCCGATTCTCAGGGACAAGTATGAACCACCCTCAAAGGCTGCTTTACACTGAACTGAAAATTTGGGTTTTCCCTTGATTGAGTTCACTATTTCGCTATAAAAGATGCTCTTTATTCAAAAAATAATACGATAGCACTCCGATTGATAAAAACTGATGTAAACCAGGCCTAAAGTAAAACCAAATTGAATTTCCTGATCAAAAGAAATTGATACTGACCTTTTATGTTTTCTAGAAAATTTGTGCTTGTTGCTATTCAACGCGATGGTTCCCAAGGATTGAACTTTCGTGTTCGTAGAGCTTTGAGAGGGATTGGAGCTGGAGCAATATTTCGTAGCCAATGCTCTTCGTTTGCCCTTATTGAGAGAAGTGGCGGAAGAGGCCTGGTTGCTCAGGTAAACTAACTAATTAAAGTAAACGTAAACATAAAACGACAGTGCCCTAAACTGTTCAGCTCTGCCCAAACAAATAGTCTGATTTCATTGTAGGAGATTCTTTTTAGGGACACCTGTTATGCTTGCATGCACTCGTTTTTAGCAAGATTCATACTCATATGCCCTTAGTTGTGTAATAATTTTTTATGATTTTTTATATAGGTTCAACGTGGAAGATGGAGGGGGCCGAGCGTCATTTCCCGGTACATTTATTTGCAGCGTTAAGAGAAAAAGGTATGTTTGGTTTATTTGACAACTTTGAATTCCGCTATGTTCTTCCGGGTTCCGGGTTTATTTGCCTTTTGCAATTTAGGCAATATGTTCATATATGTCTTTCGCAAATATTCATGAATATATTTCGCGCGGTCCATACGGCCTCATACGGACCGCTCGGGAGACAATCAGATTGCAGGAAACGCTAAAATATGAATTCCGACCGCACGAAAATAATCATATGTGTTATCTTTTTTACACCCTGTGTAATCGCGGGTATTTCAAAGGTACCTAATTAGAAGATTGATGCAGTTTTTTCTCTTTTATGCTTAGGAAAAGAAGCAGAAGAAAAATGAATACAATTCATTAAAATTTATTGCTGCATTTTATTTTAAAACGCATGTAATTTTGCTGTATTAAATAGAGCAGGTACGTGAACTTGATGTGTCCTGATTTTTTTTTTAATATTAAACATTCAATTATTGAATGTGCATGCATGGTTGAGCGTCATATTGGAATCATCAATTCTGGGACAAATGTATGCTTGATTTCCGAAGCGACATTAAGGCAGAAAGAGGAAACGCGTGTGGGATGTCCCTGAAATAAATATGAGCTACGTGTGACGTATCCTCAGTTAATGGAAATAGTATTGGCTATATTGCTTTTCGTATCAAAAAATCTCGACTGTAAAATTGGTCCAATTATTGGAAAATTTAAGTAGCAGAATAGTAACGCATCATTGAATTTCGAATTTCGGCGAGTAGTCGAGTACTGAATCTTGTTCCAGTACCAACGAAACGTAATTAATAGCATAGGTGTAGTACACGCACATGCATCACTCTGGTATAATTATAAAATAACATGACTGTGTATAACGCGTGTTCTAACAGCCTATTCGATAATTACGTCACAATATTATCGTTTTAAATTTAGAACCACCTTAACTGAGAGGAATTTCAAGTTTTACTCTAACAATCTATGTGGAAAGATGTGAATCATCCTTCTTCAACGTATGGACGAAAAATATTTTTTTATTTCGACAAAGGAGTGTGAAAATAAGCCATAACACAAAAACGAGGCTGTCGGTTATGGCCCGGTAGCATCGTTTTAGTGTTATGACTTATTTTCACATTTAATGGTAAGAAGGATGTTTTATATCTTTGCACGCGGCTCGTGTTACGTTCGCCGTTAAGAACGAGCAAAAATGAGAACAGTGTTGAGCATTTTAAAACTTTTTGTAATTTAATTATTGTAATTTAGATTAACCAGATCCTATTTCTTAATAATAACTTATCTGGTCTGAGTAACATAGTTCGACAGGTTGACTCACTTGAATGGTAACTTGGACAGCGAATAGCTCTGTAGTTGGAAATCCATGTTGATCTGTGTTGTCAGCCTAAATCAGCATCGTCAGGTGTATGGCTCTATAAGTTTAGCCTTATTCTTTCTCTTCAGCATTTGTGTGTTCCTATTCTATTGAATATTCTATATAGAATATTGTATAGGATATTCTATGGAACATTCAATAGAAGATTCTATAGAAGATGCTATAGAAGATGCTATAGAAGATTCTATAGAAGATCCTATAGAAGATTCTATAGAAGATGCTATAGAAGATCCTATAGAATGCTATAGGATATGCTACATACAGTAGCATATTCTACAGAACATGCAATTGCAATATTACACAATTAAGAAGTGCTATTCACTCTTCTGTGCAATATTACCAATATATTATGTTTAGCCATGAGAAAACATCAATGATGAAAATCACTTCAAGAATAAAAAGATATATATTAGAAATATTAGTATATGTATCAGTACATCAAAAGTTGTGCAACATTGAATACTTTTGTTTGTAATGTATTTTGGTAATATTAATTATTGTCTATTATTCTATATGTTGGATATTTTTAAAGTGTTTGTCTGACCAGTAGCTCAGTTCATTATTTTTCGCAGGACTTCTTTTTAGCATTTTCTTAGCATTACTTGTCACACTTCAGATGCAGGACAACCATATCTTTTTGAAGTATACTCTACATTAAGGAATATGATTGAAAAATTATTTAAAAATGCAGGACTTGTCTTACCATGCTGTGAGTGATGAAATAGTATACAATATATATTTAGCTAACTGAAATAAGTTATCAGCTTACCACATATGCCATTGACTTTTTCCTTGTCAAGTTGTGGCTTGGCATCCTTCTCCTTTAATGCATTGGAGATCTTTCCTGTCATGGAGTGTGTGGACAGAACCTCCCGGCTCCACAATATACCCATAATATTGAGTACACAAAATCCTTTAAAATTAATTGCCTTTTCCTTTTAAAACCTTCTGTTGAGTCTTTGTTATTGAGACACTGGGACATAAGGGCACCTACAAATATAATTATACCATTTTGACCTTTGGTTTATAGTATGATGTTTGGACATAAGCAAATCTGCAAATTTAATTGTAAATGCAAAATTAAACACTTGAGACATTATATTCCCTCTTAGAATGATATATTAAAAATTAAGTATTCTATATACAATATAAAGGGTACAGAGAATATTTGTTAATTGCCTGCACAAACATATAGGCTATAGCATATAACTACAAACACACTCACCACTTAATTCCAATACTTTAGCTTCACATGTTATTGTTGAAATTGTAGATGGGTCAATGGAACCTTTCAGAAATCTTCTGATGGCCTTGACACAATTTCTTTCTCACGATCCTAGTCTATAGTCATGTACCATTCACAAAATTATCCGAATCTTCTGATTCTTCTCACATAATCCAGCGCGTTTCACCAACCTTCTATACTCCTCATCGACAAATTCAAGTACTGCGTATTTTATGTTCAAATACGAAAGAAAAACTCGCTAAATTCTACCAGTATCAGTTGAACGAATGACAAAGACGCGCTCACAATTTGAAAATAATGCGTTATGCGTGTCAGTTACACAAGTCCCACATAACTTTGCGGCCTTGTTTTGGGCAAAAGCCCGCCATCTAACCTGCGAACAGGCATATTATGAAACAGATATGTCTAAAATACTTGTAATTTGTCCTTACAAAACGAATGATTTTTGCGGAAAATTTTAACATTAAGATTAAAAAGTATGTCGAGAGGACCTCACACAAAATACGAATATGATGCTATTCAACTTTTGTGTTTCTAGACAGATGAAAACACATTTCTCGACCAATATCAATCGTGTACTAAAATTGCTATATTTTAAATTGCCTTAATTATTACATAAAGTCACATTCTGTATAACATTTTATAGATTATTGTGTACAGCATGTTCTATAGAATATATCATTCGATATTTAATGTGAATTCATGTACAATAGAATATTCTATAGGATCTGTAAATTCTATAGAATATGGCAATGGAATATGCTATAGAATAAGAAGTCCTATAGAATATTCTATAGGATCTGTAAATTCTATAGAATATGGCAATGGAATATTCTATAGGATAAGAATTCCTATAGAATATTCTATAGGATTTAGAATATGCTATAGCATATTCTATAGGATTCTATAGAACATTTTCGTAAGGGAATTGTCTAGCTGTGCTCAAACTTTTTACGCTTGGTTAGGGGAAGAACTGAAACTACAAGTCATTTCCCATACGCAATACAGTGCGTTGTAGCACATGCATGCTATCGTGGTTTGTGGTTGATATCTTGTTACCCGTTTGTGGGATAAGGTATTTAATATAACTATTTGCTTACTCATGCATGTAAATCTATAAATTTGCTAATGTTCATCGAATATAGAATATATAGTTATAGTAAGTATATAACGCAATTATAATTGTGGTTACAAGATATTAAGGTATCATGTAACACTCGTGATCGTGAGAGTAAACTTGAAATCCATCTCATTTAAGGTGGTGCTAAATTTAAAACCATAATGTTGTGATGTAATTATCGAAAGGGTTTATTGGTTGAAGCCCGTGTACCGGCCAAATACGGAAATTTAGTTCACATATGGAAATCGAACTTGGAACAATACCTTATCTATTTCACTAGTGTCTTGGAATTGGCACCGATGAAAATTAATATGACAATTAATTTATTAATCTATATTGATCAATAGCCAACAACGGCAGAAATAATAAGAAATTCAGAGGCAGCCATCAGTCCAGCAAGTGTGATGGCTTGTGTTTTGGGAAATTTTGTGAACACGAAAACAGCATCAATATAGTGAGACTTTTGATATTATTTCTTTAGAATCTATACACATGATCGAAGCTCACCCACATTGCAATAGATATTATACCACACAATGTTTTTCAATTTTTTAATCGAGAATGACAATTGAGGAATTCAAAAATGGCGAATGCAAGCCAACAGATACTTTGTTTACTGGATTAAATATAAACTTTGTTTGCATTTTGGGAATATTTCGAGAAATAGTTATAATTTTGTACTCGATTTTTGCGAAAGGCTTGTCATTTGTAGATTTTCTCTAATGTAAAATGAAATGAAAATGAAGGATCCTGCATGTGCATTTTAGAGTTTATAGTGTACTGGTCTTATTCTTAAACAGGGATCTTCGGATCTTCATGACTGGAAAACGATCCGATTTCGGCAAATGGTAAAAGAAACGCTGGGTTTTTTATTTTCATTGTTTTTAACTTTAAAAACTATAAGTTTTTGTTAAGTTTTTTATTGCAAGTTTGTTTGTATTCATTTTATGGTGTACCCGCTATTTTGCCCGTTACATCACTGAATATATGTCACCGAAAATGAGAACATTATTATCGCATATTGCTAGATCACGTTCTAGAGAAGTCGGCTATTTAACTGTTGGGAATATATTATTTCATTACATAGCAAGTTTCGAAGTTCATATGTTCCAGAATCTGATTGGTTAAAACTACGTGGAGGGAAATCAAAATGTTTCCGGCGAAATCTTGTTTTTCACTCTTGAGATTCTATTTCCGCATTTTAAAGATTCCGGAGATTCTCATTCCCGTTTCAAGTTTTAAAGATAGCCCAGCTAAAATGAGTACCCGGACCCAATTTTATTAGAGTATAGGCTACCAAAAGCAATGCCGGGCACAGATATGAAATGAGTACGATACCCTTTCTAGCCGTATGGTGCCAATAAATTGACTCTAGTGTAATTGGAGTGGTTCTTTTCTATGGCTGTGGTGCCCTTTGCCTGTGGCAGACAAAAAATATAGCAGCTTTCACGAAGAAATCGATTGTGTAACGTGTTTGAAAAAACCTCGCCTAACTCACAAACTTTGACTTTGTTGCATAATTCAATGAAATGTCATCCAAAATAATCTTTTCTTCACTTTGATTACTTAATTTAGGCGGTTAACAGCGAAAATAATTATTTTTAGTGTTATTAAAAAGGCCCAAGAGCTGCAAGTTGGTTTTGTAAGAGTGAAAGATGCAGAAAGACGCTGTTTTAACAAAAATAATGTAACTGAAAGGACAAAAGAAGTAAAAAAACTAGCCTTATATTATTTTCAAGGAAAAAACTACTTTAATTTTAAAACCCCTTTTTGATTTTATTTTGCAAAAACATGTGTTATTGGAGTCGCTGTAAAGAGTGTCCAGTTAGTAAAACGGGTCAGTAAAATAGTTAGTAAACCATGTATTTTCTACAAAAGATTAGAATTTTCAGATTAGTTTTTTTCTGATATATACAAAATAAACGTATTTTTAAACAAGATGCTCTGATATATCTGAAATAGGCTTCACCAAAACATGGCGGACTTCGCCTTCTGCGCAATGCGCAGAAGTTATGCTGACGCCATATGGTCCTCTTTGCCCCTGGTAGGTACTGACCAGGCTAAAATCTGAGCCCCCTACAATAGAATGTCCCCCTGGTTTATGTAAACTACACAGTCAACATTATTTTCCCCCTAGTTTCCCCCGTTAAACCTTGTTGTTTTGTATTTTTTGATTAATTTTTGTCGTATAAATTAAGCGTTGAAATAAAGCGTATATTTCAGTTGTTATCAAGTAAATAACGAATAAATGCTGTGGAATGTCCATATATAGACGCATCGCCCATTTATTTGGCATTTCAACTGGTCTTTGACGTTTACGTCCTCGTGCTAAATCTCGCTAAGTCTCACTCCTTGCATTTGGCGTCCGAATTTTTTTGAGAGTGTGACGCCACCTAATGCAAGCCAAATACGCAAGCAATATGGCGGTGAGCATCCATTTTTATCTTGCTCACACAATCCTGGTGTGTGCAGGAACTTTTCTTCGGGGTACAAAGTTCCTATACACACCAGGATGGCGTAGAATTTCGTAGAATGACAAGTGCGCTTCTGAAAAATTTTGGAACCGAAAACATTAGCAAAATGCGAAGAAAGAGGCTTCTGGTATAATGTCTATTCTGTGCTTGCGTGTCAAGTAACCGTTTGGTCCACGCGTTCGTAATTTTGACTTTTTTAAATAAATCCCCGCTCACCAAAAATGATTTGACAAAAAGACACGATTTATTCCATTAGTTTCTCCTAAATCTTCTAACAATATTAAGAACGAACTCTTTATATAATAGATTCCAGAATGATATATCTCCAAATTAGATGTAAAAGGTTCTTTTTTAAGAAATACGCGTGCAGAGCACTTATTTCAGCAACCGCGCTGACATATGAAATATTGCATGTGCCTTGCATATACGTTGCTCAACAGGTATTACTCGAAATAAGAAATATTTATGCAATAATTCAACACTGCTTTTGTTAATCTGTATCCGAATTATATCAGTCTCTACTAACAAAACTATCCCTCAGCGCTTCGTGAGCGTAAGGTCTATCATCAATCTTGTGACTAATCAGCCATGATACAAACTTCCGTGCTTTACGATCACCAAGCCTCTTCAAATTGACAGAGTTTCCTTTCAAAATATTTTTCATTCGATCTATCTTCAAGCCGAAAGGGTGTTCACCTTTAGTTAGAATGAAGAAAGCAATCATACACTGTTATTTTCAAGGTGTTATTTTAATACCCTATGAAAGGGTTTTTAAGGGTATTAAAAATTTTGAACTACTTTAACCCCAATATTGGGGTTAAAAAACACCTCGTTGGGATTAAATTAGCACTATTTGAGGGGTTAAAACTTTCATTTTTGGGGTGTTAAATTTTGGTGCTATTTTGACACCACTTTTGGAGTTATATAGGTGGGTTTCACTCAAGATTAATACATAGAGAAACACTTGGTGGTCAACTTCACAAATATTGCCGAATTATGCCTTGTGGAAGTGAGCAAATTTCGTTAAATTGGACATAACATCTACTCAACATTAGGTTAAAACCTACAATGAATATTTTACTTGATTTTATAAATATTTCTCCATCAGGAGTTGACCACCAAGTGCTAAATTTGTCACGTGACTGAAACCCAGCTATTAACTCCTCGGTGGAGTAACGAGTTCTAACATTATATATTCATAATGGAGATTTGAAAACAAGGAGTGAAGATTGGTGATGCACATCGCGTTAATGTTAATTTTTATTGAAATTGAACAAAATTTTGCATTGAAATCATTTACTACATCAGAATACGTGATGAAAAGAATGCCTCGGATAGTTGTGGTAAGTTTATAACGATAAATGTCAAAGAATCAACCGTTAGATAGCGAAATACATGGTCGATCGGCTGGAATAAAGCATTGACTACCGATCATTATATATCGAATTCTAATGACCAAAACGTCAATGTTTATAACGATAAAGGAGCATATACGTTGCTTAAACATTATCTCACATTACTCTAACATCTAAATCACAAAAAAATTCGAAATCACATTTTCAACAGACTATATAAAATAGCTCACTTGATATATTATCATGGAAATGTGAATTGCCCAAGTTTACATTTTATTTGGTACTTTAGAACATGATTTATTCATGAATTATTCAGTAAAAACTATGTTTAAAAAGTACCAGGAATGGGTTTTATAATATTACAAGGTCCCACATTACATGGTTGTTTTAGGGTGATCCTGGATATTAAAAAAAAGGAAGATTCATTACAAAATAATTAACAAAAAAACAGGAAAATCTTTGGTATTTGATTTATTATTGAATGAACAAGCATGCTTGGACTTCTTGCACATTAATTGTCTGAAAGTTGGTTGATATTTGAGTGTAATGCTCAAATGCATTAGCTATTTAAGGTGGCTCCCTACAGTTTTAAGAATATTGAAATCTTGTGGTTTTGATTTAAAATTTTAGCACGAGATTTCTTGGTAAGTATAAGAAATTTCCCATATATATTAACCAACATTCTAACAGTCAGAAATTGCCCATAAGCATGACGTCTTTACCGTTGTTATGGTAACAATGGCGATTCAATATGGCCGACATTTTACCTATTAACGCATTTTACTCGAAAACAAGTTCGGTTACCCCAATTTTTTATTTTATAAAAAGTTTTCTTACAAAAAAATGGGAAATGTGAGCAAGTTTAAAAATATTCTATAGAGCCAAAAAATTTCTATAACGAAAAATCACGTTTTTTCATTTTTAATAATTTTGGCTCTATAGAATTTTTTTTAACAGGTTCATATTTTCCATTTTTTTGTAAAAAAACTTTTTATAAAATAAAAAATTGGGGTAACCGAACTTGTTTTCGAGTAAAATGCATGAATAGGTAAAATGTCGGCCATATTGAATCGCCATTGTTACCATAACAACGGTAATGACGTCATGCTTATGGGCAATTTCTGACTGTTAGAGTGTTGGTTAATATATCTGGGAAATTTCTTTTCCTTACTAAGAAATCTCGTGCTAAAAGTTTAAATCAAAACCACAAGTTTTCAATATTTCAAAAAATTGTAGGGAGCCACCTTAAGTGCTATAAAAAATTGATTGCTCCATTTTTGGATAAGTTTTAACATATATGAGAGTTAAGTGGCATTTAAAACCTTGATGATATCTTTTATGCTACAAATTTTTAAGTAATCCATCTCTCAAAACTGACCCTTAAACATGTTGTATATATATAGTTAACAAGCTATATTCTCCTCAGGCTATAAATACAATTTTTTGTTCATATTATTTGTCAAAGAACCATGCATTGAACAGTGTAGATCATGTGAATCAAGCATGGAACAGTGCAGATAATTTAGAGCCATAATTATACATAATATGTATTGCAAGGCTAATTAATCTATGATTTGATGTTGCTGGTTATTTTGCATAAATGTTATTGAGGTCTACAAGTGGGACATTGGAAAAGACAAATAAATTAATTGTTTCTCATATATGAAAATTTAACTTTCATGAGCCATCAAGAATGTTAATTCAAAAGGTCAAATATTTTAAAAATGATTTCTGATTAAACTGAAAAAGTAAGTGTTTTGTTAGGTACAACAGAGTATGCTCATAAATTAATAAAGTACAAAACATTAATGATAGTGTCTTAACATTAACTTTCCTTTCAAATTTTGGCAGTTGATTATATAAAAATCAAGACAAACTGACTCAACTAATCAAGAAAAAGAAAACCTCATGATGTGAGTTGAATTGCCAGGGATACTATGCTAAGACTTCAGGTCTTTATATAGCTCAGTGGCCAGGTCTTTCTTGTCGAAATATTTGCAAAGTACACACGAAGCCCTCGCTCGCTCCGTGAAAAGTGCTCATTCTCGGTACTATTCATTCGAAAATGGTAAACTCAATAGAGGACTACCAACTGTGGATGCGTAAAGCTGGATTTGGCGACTACTGCGAGCTATTTCAAGGTAAATATTTAAACTTATTCTTGCATTTAGTTTTCCCGCCTTTTTATTATGTTAACTTGGCCTGCAAAAAAAGACAAATTTATTGCAAGATTCTGATAGTTTGATTCTAAAATGTTTTTCAAATAGTTGTTTCTATAATTTTTGATGCTGGTCGATTTATTTTTTCCTGTGGGGCTGTTGGGAAAATAGTTTTTCAGTTGCAAAAATGACAGGGAAGTGTTTTTGTGTTTCTGATCAGCATGAATACATGATATCGCCAGCCTCCGATATTTACCTTAAAAGTTCCTGGGATATTTTAATAGTCTATAACAATTCGCATTCGTATCTTTAGAAGCAGTAGAAGGACAGAGGTCCACAAGCCCGATAGAGGGTAGAAGAAGCAGTGCCAATGGGTAACTCAAAGACAAAGTGGGTTGAAGGATTATTAAAATTTCTGAAGATTTGGGATGCATTTCAATTCCAGAAAGCCCTAACCTAGCAAAACGATGTTGAAAACAACTCTAAAAAAAGCTGTTCAATTTTCAATGGACGAAGCAACTTATACTGATAACACTGGAGGCAGCAAATCTAGGTATGTGGAATATTTTTTTCGAATTTTTTTATATTTGCTAAGCCTAAATTACTTGAAATTATTTCTTCCTTATACTCACATGTTTCTGCTTATTTGTTTGAGTATGTTGGCATTTTGGATCACGTAGAACATGTCGATTTTGCAGGTCTGTTGAACAAGGTGCTCTAGTGTATGCATACACAGTACACTACTCAAATTTACACTCATATACATGCAATTTTTCTATTTGTTCGTAGAATGAAGACTCGTCTCGTGCAATTGGCACAACAGAAAACCTCCGCAAATTTTACTACGAGGCAAATTGTAAAAGAAGAAACGTGGATCAGAATTGCTTACAACCAGATCATCATCTTGGTTGAGTGAGTCTTAGCTTAGTAGAACTGAACAGCAAGTGCCTTAATGACTATACCATTGTGTTTCATGCATGCATGCTACTCCACCTAAAAACGTTTTCTTTAACTTTTTTGCAAATGTGCATGTGTATTAAAATGTAAATAAAAAGTATTAAAGAACTATACTATAGAAGCAATTCCTTTAATGCGTAGTTAACTAGCTGTACTCAAACGGAAACGTAATTGATCTCATGTGTTCAATATTATAATAATATATAATAACGATATTTGTGCTGCTTGTTTGTTGATTCGGTATTATTAAGGTTTTCCACTATATAGGTGGAGGTGGAAATCTTCGATGGGACGGAATATTTCGCTCAATTCTCTTTTCAATTGTGAAATTAAACCGAAGCAGATTCACTTGATAGATCACAATTGAAAAGAAAATCAAGCAAAAAATGTCTTTCCATCGAAGTAATTTACCTTTAGGTGAGCTTTTAAAAGTTCACAATTAATTATTTTAAAACCTGTGTCTTTTAATCCCTTATTGGTATTAAGTAAATTTAACACTCTAAACGGGATTAAATTTTTAATACCCAACAGGTTCATTTTAACACCCAAATAGGTGTCACTTTAATCCCAAAATCGGGGTTAAATTTTAATACCCATAGGGGGATCACTTTAACCCCCAAAAAGGGCTTATTTTAGACTTTTTTTTGTAACCCCTATTTTGGGGGTTAAAATAACTCGTTGAAAATAACAGTGTACCCGCCACATGCACATCCGATTTCTTTTTGAAGAGACCTTTTTCTTTTTCCTCTCCCGCTTTTATTACTTCAGGCGACATCCATCCTTCGGTACCTTTAGCATCTGTTTCAACTGCCGTTTCGTTTTCCTTTAGAATTCGACTTAATCCAAAGTCTGCCAATTTCATGTGACCTTCGATACAAACCAGGATGTTTGATGGTTTTAGATCTCTGTGCAATATTCCTTTACCATGAAGAAATTCAAGTCCGGAAAGAATTTCTTGCAACATTCGTGGACCATGCTCTTTTAGCTGCTCAATGGTCTCAGAATCAACAAGATCCGTCAAGGTTTCCTCACAAAGATCAACAATTAGATACGCAAAATTCCCGTCGTTATGAAAATGTCGATAGCTCACGATAAATGGAGAGTTGCCTGTTTTTATCAGACTCATTATTTCTTTTTCATTTTCAGCTATTTTGTCGCATTTTTGCACCACCATTCTCTTAACAGCAACTTCACTTCCATCCATCATGAGACCAACATAGACACATGAATAACCACCATCGCCAATTCTGAATTGCCCATGGGCGACAAAACCCTGCATAGGAATTTCAGTCTATGAAAAAAAAATCGTAGATTTTTTATACATGGCGTGAAGAAAGAACGCGACTTTAGGTGATATTGGGCAACATTGGGGAAAAATTAACAAATATAATACAGTAATGTGCATACTAAAGTATTATTACATATTTCTAATATGGGTTATTACAAACAAAAATACTGTAAGGTAGTTGAATGAGTAATTGTCTGAAATAAAGTCTGTTTTTAAGGTCGCTCATCAGGCTGTATAAGAAACAGAATTAGTTAACTCTTTGAAAGGCACTTTGCCTCAAATGGCTTGAAACACCAAAATTCAAAAAACTAAATCTAATCATTTTGCACAAACGTTTTCGCTTTATTGAAAGCTCCTCAGGTGCTGAATACTTGTAAGAAAGCCGATTTTATTTTGTTTTCATCAGGTTATTACAAATTATTTTTGACAGTTTCTTTTCAAAGGTTATCTCTTTACTTGGTTTTTACTTAGAAGTTATTTTTTACGGTATCTTTCGGACAGTGATTTCTTTTCTTGGTTCTTATTTAGAAGTAATTTTTGACAGTATCTTTCCGACACTTATCTCTTTACTTGTTTTTATTTCGAAGCTAATTTTTATCTCTTTACTTGGTTTTTAGGTATAGAAGGTTTTCATATACGTTTATCGGTTTTAATTTTGAAATTCGCAATCGAGGCGAGGGCTTAATTTGAAATTCAAGATCAACAACGGGCTTGGAATTTGAGATTTAAAACTGGAATGGGTAGCCCTCTGCCCTCTCTTCCCTGTATATATTCACAATCCGCCACCAAACTTTCACAACGAGATCTTAAATGAAATTTCAAAAACAAATGAGAACAAAAGATCATGACCCAGTCGGTTCACAGTCTTGGTAATTGCCCAAATTCATTGAAGGAACCTTATATAAATTTATATAAAAAATCTTTCAAGTACTACCTTCTCTAACTGGTTGCAAGTCGTTCTTCTCAGTGCATGAATTTTCTCACGATGTTTTACGGACTTTTTGAGAACAGTCGCAATTTCATCATGACCAAGGTGAATACACAATTCAAGAAGATTCATATTTCTTCCATCAATAAGAAATGTCCCACCTTTCCAAAAAATGACTTACCAAATCGACCGAATTTTTCACGATTGCTATCTTTAGAATAATAGCGCCAAGAGTATGACTGCCGACTTTATTTGTAAGAGCTATATCAGCAACCTGTTCGACAAAATACTTGATCATTTTTAATCCACCAGTATTGACAGCAGCGTGTAAAACTGTTGTTCCCTTACTATCTTCACCATTTACATCAGCGCTCTTTTCAACAAGATATTTCACTATTTCGAGCGTACCTTCAGTAACAGCAGCATGCAGCACAGTCCATCCGTTAGCATTCTTGCTATTAACATCGGCGCCCTTTTCAACAAGACATTTTACTATTTCTAGCGCACCTTCAGAAACAGCAGAGTGCAGCACAGTCCAACCGTCAGTACCCTTGCCATTGACATCAGCTTCCTTTTCTACAAGATATTTTACTATTTCCAGTGTACCCTCAGTAATAGCAGAGTGCAACACTGTCCTCCCATCGGAATCCTTGCCATTTACATCAGCGCAATTTTCAACAAGATATTTTACTATTTCCAACATACCTTTACCAATAGCACAGTGCAGCACAGTTCTTCCGTTAGTCATTTTGCCATTTACATCGGCACCATTTTTCACAAGATATTCCACCATTTCCAGTGTACCCTCAGTAACAGCAGAGTGCAGCACAGTCATCCCGTCGGAATCCATGCCATTTACATCAGCGCAATTTATGACAAGATATTTTACTATTTCCAGCACATCTTCAGTAACGGCAGAGTGCAGCACAGTCAACTCGTCAGTATCCTTGCCATTCACCTCAGCACCACTTTCCACAAGATATTGCACTATTTCCAGTGTACCTTTGGTAACAGCATAGTGCAGCACGGTCAACCCGTCAGTATCCTTGCCGTTTACATCAGCACCCTTTTCCACAAGATATTTTATTATTTCCAGTGTATCTTTACCAACGGCAGAGTGCAACACAGTCCAACCACTAGTCTTTTTGCCATTTACATCCGCGCCCTTTTCAACAAGGTATTTCAGTATTTCCATAGAACCTTCAGCAACAGCAGAGTGCAGCACAGTCCACCCTGTAGTCTTCCTTCCATTTACATTAGCGCCATTTTCAACGAGATATTTTACTATTTTAGGTGCACCTTTAATAACAGCAGAGTGCAGCACAGTCAACCCGTCAGTGTCCTTGCCATTTACATCAGCACCATTTTCAACAAGATATTTTACTTTTCCTAGCCCACCTTTAGTAACAGCAGAATGGAGCACAGTCCGCCCATCCGAATCCTTAGCATTTATATCACCGCCCTTTTCCACAAGGTATTTTAGTATTGCAAGTGTACCTTTAGTAACGGCAAAATGCAGAACAGTCCATCCATTAGTCTTGTTGTCATTGACATCAACACCCTTTCCAACAAGATATTTTACTATATCTAGCCTACCTTCAGTAACAGCATAGTGCAGCACACACCAGCCGTCAGAATCCTTGCCGTTAAAATCAGAGCCCATATCAACAAGATATTTTACCATTTGCAGACTGCTTTCAATAACAGCAAAGTGCAGCACAGTCCACCCATCAGTATCCTTGCCATTTACATCAGCGCTGTTTTCAACAAGATATTTTACTATTTCCAACATACCTTTAACAATAGCACAGTGCAGCACAGTCCTTCCGTTATTCATCTTGCCATTTACGTCGGCGCCATTTTCCACAAGATATTGCACTATTTCTAGCCTACCTTCAGTAACAGCAGAGTGCAGCACAGTCCACCGTTTTTTTTCTTGCCATTTACATCAGCACCCTTTTCAACAAGATGTTTCAATATTTCCTGCGTACTTTCGGTAACAACAGAGTGCAGCACAGTCCACCCGTTAGTTTTCTTGCCATTTACATCAGCACCCTTTTCAACAAGATATTTTACCACTTCTAGACTACATGAGGTAACGGCATAGTGCAACACTGCACCTCCTTCCGTATCGAACTCATTTAAATGAGCTTCCTCTTGAACTAGATATTTTACCATTTTGAGCAATCCTCGAGTATCTGCTTGTTCGAATTGCTGTCTCAGCTCATCCCAAAATTGCAGCTTGCTTTCTTCTCCGCGCACACTCATACTTTACTTGCCCGTTGAAGTACCTGTACCTATGAGGGATTTAAAAAGTTTACTCTTGCCCCAAAATTTCTTCCTGAACTACAAATTCTTTTTAAAAAATAGTTTTAAAAAACTATAACGCCTGTTTTCCAAAGGCCCGTTTCCACTTGCAATTTTAGGTACGATTTTATGTTTCATCTTTTGGGAAATGTGAACGAGTGACTAATTACGAATGCTCTGATGAATAAGAGCTCTTATTTGAGCGTCCGTAACTAATTCACTCGTTCACATTCATCAAAAGAAGAAAATCGCACATGAAATCGCAGCAAAAATCGCCGGTGTAAACGGGCCTTAAAGGTCCACACAGACCGTACGCGATTTGGGAACGCGGCGCGATTTTTGTATATTGGCGCCCATAGACTCCATATTTGGCTGCATCAGCCTGCATGGAATAAATTTATGTGCTTCTGAAAACTGAAAAATGAAAGACCTCGCTCACACTAACACTGAATGAGCGGACGCTCATACTCAATGAGTGACCTCGCTAACTCACAACTGCGCAACTCACCAATCAATGAATGTCCTCCCACACTCACATACAGTAGTATAATGCTACACTCACATTCCAACTGTTCAAAGACACCACTCACACACAAGCGAAGCTCAGGTTTTGAGTGAAGTGTGACAATCTCGTACCTAAAGCCCGCGATCCTCGGAGGAAGGAACGGCGAAGGATCTGGCATAATCCGTTATTTGCCCCGAGATTTTTGGAAATCCTGTTTCACAGCGCATGCTTTATTTGCATGCTAATTTCAAGACGAAGGAAATAAATAACGATATACAAAATGTACTAAATTTTCTTGAAGCCATCGACCATGCGTTATTCAATCCAATTCAATTCAATTCAATTCAATTCAATTCAATTCAAAAGTCTTTATTAGAATACTCAAAACAAACGTTTGAGTTTACATAGATTTTTACCTGGGTATACATCATTATGAGTATTTACATCAATTAAAAGTATAGAATTTAAAATCTCTGAAGTAAGAATAAATAGAAACTATGATGTAATAACCTAAGTTCTAGAATAACCTAAGTTCTAGTTCTATAATAATTTATATAAAATTAAATAAGCATCTATTTATAAAAGCTTTTTTGAATATCTCTGTTTTAGCTATTGTGAGTTCAAATTCATGGCCTCTCTGTCGCAAAAGGCGCTTTAACTTGCTAGGTGATAGTTTATGTAGAGCATTGTTTTCGTCTTCCACAATTCTTGACCACAACTTTTTGTCTCTGTTTGTTATTACTACTTTAAAATCTGATTTGTTGGTAACATTTCTGTAGGCACGATTAATAAACTTATGGATCTGGCTGATATATTTATAGTACGATGCCCCACCCGAGACTTCAACTCCAAAAGTGAAGAGGGAGAGAATAAGACTATTGAAGAGAAGTTCCATCTGATGCGAAGAAGACCCATAACGTTTGCACACTCTCATTCTTTTACAAGCCTTTTTCATTTTCTCTTCAAAATGTTTATCCCATTTTCCAGGTATTTCTTCTATCGTGACACCCAATAATTTTAGCTATTCTTTCCGTACTATTGATGGAATCTACTCCGGAGGAGGGAAAGACACCTAGCTTTGCACGAACTATCATTTCATAGGTTTTATTCATGTTTAGAGACATTCCATTTTCTGTGACCATAGTTCCATATTATCCACTTCATCCCCAGCTGAATCTTCGTGGTCATAAACTGGGGCGATTATTGTGATATCGTCACCAAATTTAGATAAATAATTGTAGAGATTCACCAGCTTAATATCATTTAACCGTTACGGTAAACATTACGGGACCAAGTACAGTTCTCTGGAGTGCGACACGATTAATATCCCAAAATTCAGTTGTGACACCATCAACTTTCACTCTCTGTTTACGGTTGCTTAAAAAGTCAATCATCCAATTTATAGTGTATGGATTGATAGGTACTTTCTTGATTTTATTGAACAATATATCGTGTGGCCTCGTGGAAATTTTTGAAAATCGAAAAGTTAATGACCTATATTGCCCTGTGGGATTAAATGTGTGGGAGGAAAATTAAACTAATCTAATTTAAAGTGACTCTCGTGTTTTCTCTGTCCGTTTTGTCTTATTGAGCTTCCTCGACGTTTCATATGACTTTTACTCCGTTGGTCCACTTCGATTCTGGTCCACTCTGAAGATTCTGGTGTTGTGCACTCCTTTTTAAAGTGAAGGTTGAGGGACACACCATCAACCAGAGTGGGCTGATCCTTATCCAACCAATCAGCGTTGTAAGCAAGAAATGTGGGTTGGCGTTAGAAGCTCGCGCCAGCTGTTATATTTTGTTTTTTTTAAGATGTTGTCGTACAGTCGAGTTGGTCTTTTGCTCAATCGATCAATACTTAAGAACGTTCATAACTTAAATTAATTTTTATCAACAAATATAAAATTTTCAAACATGTCCTCTGTGAACCTCACTTCACGACTTAACTACATATAGTACTATTTTAATCGAATTAAGCCTTCTCGACGTATTGCTAAAATGCTCGACCGCGAGAAATATAAAACACAGTTGACTGACATAAGAGCTTGCAGTTGCCTAATGCACCTATATTTAGCTTCGCTCGGGCTATAAAGATACGCAAACTTTTACCCGCAAAATATCACCGCCCGCCATATTTGCCCGAAGACGGCCTGCAAAGGAGGTTTACATGTTTATGACAGATGGCCAAAATGATTGACACTAAGATTACTGCATTAATTATTTACCGAAACTGTCTAGCTTGGAAGGAAAAGTTTTTGATATTTGCGAAAAGCCAAAAATTATATTTACTCATATTTTCTTGTGGCAAAAATCAAATACTCGTCCACGCATGGAAGGTGATATCTC